CCGCCTAAGATTATTGGCCGTAAGGGACCGTTTCTCCACTACCAGGTCCATTGCAAATGAATGGTTTGCAGAACACGGAAGACCTATTGGCATGCGAAGTGTTTACCGACGAATGAGAATTTTTGGCTTGTTTTCATACCGGCCACACTGGGTCCTCCCTTTAACTCGAGAACACCGACGTAATCGCCTTGAGTGGTGCAGACAATGGTCACTCTGGGATCAGGACTGGAACAGTATTGTCTTTAGTGACGAGTCTCGATTTTGTTTAGGCATGCACGATGGTCGTGCCAGGGTTAGAAGGCGACGTGGTGAAAGGAGGAATCCACAGTTTTTTGTTGAAAGACATGTTCATCACACTGTTGGAGTTATGGTTTGGGGTGCTATAGCTTATGGTTCCAGGTCACCTTTAATCTTCATCAGAGGTAACATGAACGCGCAGCGTTATATCCACGAAGTTCTAGAACCCCATCTTTTACCCTATCTTGACACCCTGGCAGATCCAACTTTCCAACAAGATAATGCCCGACCACATGTTGCAAGAGTCACAATAGACTTCTTTCAACATAATGATGTCACATTGTTACCATGGCCACCAAGATCTCCCGACTTATCCTGAATTGAGCACGGGATATGATGGGTAGGAGATTGCTCAATTTGCAACGTCCTCCTCAGACTCTAGAAGCACTTCGAGAGGAGTTGGTGGTTGCCTGGAATGAGATACCACAGGAGGACATTGACCACCTGATCAGAAGCATGACTTTTGCATGATAATGACTTTAAAATAGTATTTAATGCTACCAGCGATTGTTTTCAAGAAATTTGTCCATGTTTGATTTCATTATCCAGGGTTTGCGAGCCTGTATGACAGAATATCGCCTAACTGGACTGGCTCTTTTACATGTCCTTAAAGATATACATGTCGATTCGGAAGAAGTCATCATGAGTCGATTTGCAAGAGAAGGCAAAAAAAGAAGAATTAATTTTGTTATTTAACAATAAGAACTTTTATTTTAAATTGGATTAGATTTATTGTTGAAATCAGATTTGGGCAACACTCGTATGAGTACATGGTTAAGGCCACTCCCTCCAGCTCTTCAATTCTTAATACCCCCCCCCCCTCCCGTGGTGACTATCTTCATGAACAGCATGAATCATGTGACTCCCTCTGATACAAATGCTGGATCCATCCTTGCCGCTAAACAAGCTACAGAGATTCCATTTTTGAACTGCCTAAAGTTGGTACAACCTGGAAAACAAGGAAACAATCGTATTGGCCAGTACTCAATGTGCCGATTTACAATAAGCAGCATAGGCTTTTCAGGTCCATCTAGCAGACCTATAACGCGCTGGTATCATGGAAAGAGCGTTAGCATGTTGACAGATCGTCAACATAACTTTTACGGTCAACGACCAGTCTTGGTGGGATTAAACTCTCCGCATAATTATTAAGAAATAAGGTGTTTTTTTTAGACAAATATTCGCCCTTAAACAAATCGAGGTTACTGAGCCCGCCGTTTGGTACAGCTTTATGGAATTTTTTAACGAGCAATATTTTTGTTGTAATATCTGGCTCCGATAGTTTGGAAAACTGACAGCAATATTTGAAAATATGTCGGAAATGTCAAACCTGTGTACCAACGTAGCAGGGCGTTACTAAACATATTGCCGTAGCTACTATATTGCAGCTAGATAACGCAGTAGAAATATTGCCCTTTAAAAGAGACATTATTGACGGGAAGAAAAATTTCATTCATAGGAGTAACCACACTATAGCAGTAATAAGTGCAAACTGCCAATGAGAGAATTCTTTGTATTGATCAATGGATTTTCATGTATAACTTTTTCAGCTTATGTTGAGCCCACTAAAGGCCCAGCGTGGAACACTGTTCGCATGTCTGGAATGCATCTGCCCCGACTACGCTGTATGTATTTGGCAATTCGTCTCCAAGATGCTTAGCAGATGGGTAGCTGACCTATTTTGTGATCGTAAGATGTCCACCGTAATTTTTGGACAGTCCTCTTTATCCCAGTTGCATCGTAAGTGTTCTCCAATGATCGATTTTGATGTCGAGACAAACAGTATAGAGTTGATATATAAACATAATCAACTGTTTATAGAACGTTGAGAGCTTTTGTGAATTATTTGTAAAAAGGACCACATTTTAGATTTTTTCTGCCCTAAAGAGCAAATAAAAACACAAAAAAGTGCTCTAGGGTGGGGGATCGAACGCCGCTCTACCACGTAAGAGGCAGCTTGCTGAAAATCGAGCCTTATTCGATTGAAAACCGGTTATGGTGAATCAAGTATAATAGTTGGGCTCAAAGACTTTTTGTGAATCATGAAGCATGAACATGTAGCACTTCATTTTATATATAATTCACAGATTTCGCAGCGTACGACAAATAATGACTTTTTATATGCAAATTTTTGCTATCATTCGTCACAATTCCGTCACGTTCAAGTCCATTTACATTAAACTCCAATGCAGCCTACAGAAATCCAATAGTGGAAGCCGTATGAAAATCGGTTGAGTAGTTACCGAGCGATTTATTCTTTTTTCTGCCCTAGCTCCGCGGCCACTGGTCCGATTTGTAAATATTATAAAGCTTTTCGACTCTTGGCGTACTAAGCTTGTGTGAAAATCCTAGCTGTACTTTCCAACTTATAGACGGATCAGACAGGTAGACAGACCGGAAATAAGTGCATGGTTTTTGATGATCAAGTCATCGTTGGTTGTCAGAGCGGTCCGTGGGACCTTAGCTCTTGAGTCACAGTGTCAGTTTGTAAGTCTGTCAGGTCTGGTAACCCAGAAACCAGACAATTTTAAGAAAAAAAGGAAAGGAAAGAAGAGAAGGAAGAACGAGAGCAAAGTGGAAGAAGAGAATCTTTTACGATAGGCAGCGTTTAGGCATTGTTAAAATCACTTCACAGATTTTGATATGGTCTAAAAATATTCGATTTTTTCTGCTTTGTCAAAATGCTCCAATTTTGGTTGTTCTAAGTTCACGAATTAATTTTGATTACAGTGTCAGCCGTGGCATTTTGTGCTTGCGAACTTGCTCGACTGTGTAGTCCACTGACTCACTCACGTTGCTGTGCGATTCCGCTAGGCTATAGAGCCGCTGCGCCTGTTGCCTAATGTATTCCTTTAGGTAAGGGACATCGAGGTCTCTATGTAGAGTTTCGTTAGAGACATACCAGCAACGTCCTGCTTTGCAGAACCTGCAGATTTCGCATGTGTGTTTTAGCAATTAAACACCAATCCGCACATATGTAAGTCATTTCTGGTCTTATGACCACCTTATAGAGTCGAATCTTGTTAATCAAACGTAATTTTGAACGTTTACATAATAATTGGTAAAGCTGTCACTAGGTCACCAGACCACGACTAAGCCACCAATGCTGTATCGTCAGCATAGAGATAGACTTCACAGTTGCTGGGGCTAGGGGCGTCATGGATGTACAGTGAGTAAAGGATAGGTCCAAGGACTGAACCCTGAGGGAGGTTTCTGATGATGTACATGTCAATATAACATCCAAAAAACAGAATACCCAATTTTCTAAATTTTTCGCGATTGCTGTGACGAATGAAGTAAAAGCCTATGCGTTAGGGAGATTATGTGCGACCTTTTTAACATAGTCAGTTCCAAAATACGTAGGCCTATTCAAATAACTCAAGAGCGAAAAAAGTAAATAATGTTTTACTTTCTGCGAAAGGTAATTACCGCGTAATACCTACGCCTCTGCACCTAGGATGTTATTTCACTTTTTATCTCAGAACTTATACCTAAAGTGAAAATGTCCGATGCGATGCTATAGAGCATTGGTAGTAATCATACCCGATATATCAATGCGCTTTCTCACATTCTTATTTCTATTCATGTGTATGTGATCCTACGATGTTCATTTCCTATATACAATTTATATACGAGGGATGTCTTTTAAGTTTTGCATATAGAAACATAGTAGGCCGTTCGGATCGAACGTCAGTACTGAATCTTAACCTAACTCTTTAGTAAACTTAAAATCAAAGTTTCACAACAATACGTGCAGTGTTCTCACTACAGTGAATTTTTGAGGGTCACCAAGTCATTAGAAAAATGGAACTCAACCGAGAACATTTTCGAGCCACAATTTATTACAACTTTCAGAGACAATTATCGCAACAAGGATGCCTTGCTGAGTTACTGTCTGTTTTCGACAACGAAGCACCACATCAGTCGACAATTTCCCGTTCGTATGGAGAATTCAAACGTGGACGGGTGAGTCTTAGCGACGATTCCAGGGTGGATGCACCAAAAACGGCATTCACCCAGGAAAACCTCGATGCTGTGCGCAAACTCATCATTGAAGATAGACATGTGACATATCGCGAGATTGAGGCGTCCTTGAAAATCTCAACGACCTCAATTCAAAAAAATTTACATGAAGAATTAGGAGTAAGAAAATTATTTTGTCGTTGGATACCCCACCTGTTGACTGAAGAGCAGAAAGCAACCAGGGTTAATTGGTGTCAAAAAAGGCTTGACCGTTTCAATTCCAGAAACTCAAAAAATGTGTACAGCATTGTTAGTGGTGATGAATCGTGGATTTACTGTTATGAACCAGAAAATAAACGACAGTCGGCTGTTTGGGTGTTCGAAGGTGAAGAAAAGCCAACAAAAGTCATCCGTTCTCGAAGTGTTTCGAAAAACATGGTCGCGACATTTGTGTCAAAAGCGGGTCATATTGCAATAATTCCCCTTAATGAGCAAAGAACTGTTACTGCAGATTGGTATACCACCATTTGTTTGCCAAGAGTCATCACCGAGCTTCGAAAAATCAACCCCGAAAGAAGAATCATCCTCCACCAAGACAATGCAAGCTCGCACACAGCCCAAAAAACAAGGCAGTATTTAACGGAAGAAAACGTGGAATTATTGGACCATCGTCCATATAGTTCCGATCTAAGTCCTAACGATTTCTTTACTTTCCCGAAAATTAACAACAGACTGCGTGGTCAAAGGTTCCAGTCACCAGAAGAAGCAGTTGACGCATTCAAAAATGCCGTTTTGGATCGGACAGCAAACGAGTGGAATAAGTGTTTCGAAAATTGGTTCAAGCGCATGCAGATGTGTATTAATCTTCGTGGAGAATACTTCTAAAACAATAAAGTCATTTAAAACTACCTACCGTGTTGTTTTATTTCCATATGCAAAACTTAAAAGACATCCCTCGTATTAATTGCATATCAAACACTTAAATAATACACATCTAAGGTACTGATTGACAACCTCGGTGAACACGCTTTGTTATTTCAAATCACCTACCCAAGTTTTGTTAAAATACGGTTTCACTGTTATACATTTTTTTGTCCTTGCATATGTACGAGTACGTGTACGATTCACGAAAAATCCAAATTACACATACTTGGCGTAACATGACCTCCATCTCTTGAGAATCTGAATAAATAAATTAGCGTAGGAGATAAAAGAGAAACAGGAGATTCCAATATGTCGTAATGTTACGTAACATATTTTGCTAAGCAAATAATTATTACGGTACAAACTTAAAAATACAAACTTTCTTCGGGCAGGTTACAGCTTGGATCATAGTGATGAGAGAGAACGAGCTTGATATTCGTTCATTTAAATACTAATACGTTGTTAAACGTTTTCAAATAATTTTCGATGTTTTGGTTTCTTTCTAACATTTACTGAACATTATTTGAATTGAGTAGCTTTCTCGCTCAATAGAGACAAAAAAGCAAAAATGCTCGCTAAGAACTAATCCTTGACTAACTAATATTTGAATATGTACATTCAACTTAAATTGCTACAGTTGTGTGAAGAAGATTCCTCATAATAATGTCAAGGCTCCTCGATACTCCTCTCTATTCATCAGTATGTAAACATAAAGAAAAACTGTTTGTTGGATATTCAATTTTCGGTTCAAATTTTAATACAAAATGAAACATTTTTTTGCGAGGAAGATTAAAAATTGTCCTAGGCAGAAACACCTCTTTCCATTCATTTTGTTGTTTATATCTCTAAGAACTTTGAGTTTTGATTGAAATTAAACTTAACTAAAGCATTACATTTTTAGACAGAGGATTTTTCTGAACAAATAAACAGAAGGCTTACCTTTCTTTATATCTGGACATATAACATAAATCAGTTACCAATCAAATAATTGTTGCGGCCAGAGATAAAGTCAGTCACCCATCTGAAAAACTTCTCTGGGAGGCCATAGGATGGAAGTTTGCATAGGAGGACAGCGTGCCACAGCTACTGGAACGCTTTCGTTATATCACAAGCAACGACATGGCCTCACCATAAGACTGGATGAGCTTACGCCACAATTGCGCTGGTGCCGGAAACCATACTGCCTATGTAAGATATCCGAATTTATGCGTTCTTATAAGGAGAACAGGTAATCTCCCGCACGGGTATCATGTAAAAAACCTACAAAACGTCAAAAAAAACCTATAAGATGTCAACTTGCAGACTAGGTAGTTTTTTAGGGCCCAAACAGACATTCCACATTTGCTCACTAGGGTCGTTGTGAACAATGTTGCGTAACAGTCGGTCTAGCTATGCAGCAGCTAAATAATTCTGTCTATAAATTTAAGTTCAACAGATGTTACATCCATCGCCAACGTTTTTCTATTTTCTTTTATACCTATCCCTAAAATCTCAAATCCTATAGTGAACTTAAGCATCTCAGACCTATAAGCTTGTTACTCGTACTTTCTATAAAAAACCAAAACGATCACGCTAAGAAAACGAATGTCGAAATGCAGGACGCAACTACACTATTTATATATAATTAATCATTTTGACCAGACCAGGGACTGAGCGCCTCCGCACCAGACGCTCATTGAAGCTCTTTGGGCTGTAGCCCATGAAACAGATATTTCAAAGTTGTTTCTCGAGATAAAAAGTAGCATAAGTGCTATTTCAGACTATAATCTATCTCTGTGCCAAATATCATCCAGGTCGGCACGGGTATCATGTAAAAAACCTATAAAACGTCAAAAACACCTATAAGATGTCATCTTGCAAACTAGGTAGTTTTTAGGGCGCAAACAGTCATTCCACGTTTGCTCACTAGGACCGTTGTGAACGTCCATCTATGGGGAAATCACTCAACTAAGGCTACACCTATTTTTGGTTGCATAGTTTTGTTAGGCCAAATGGTCCTTGTCTGTAGTTTTTATCTCTGAGAAGAAAGTTGGTTGAATAGCAAGATCGCATCTGGATGATTATGTGTATTGGTCTGCATGTGTATAAAATCAGTGATATTTGCTTGGTGAGGAAATCATTACTGAATATGCTGCCAATGAAGTATATCTATTGGCTGTGCCCGACGGGTTATTTTTATGTTGTGCTTTCTGGAGAGAGGTTATGTTCAAACATATAAATTACGAAAAACTGAGAAGAATTACGGGAAACGATCACCGCGCCCGTGTTCTGTGTAATTACTGTTAGCATGTAGATGGCTTGTAATTTGACAGTGTACAGTGAATATAACTATTTCTTATCTCTCTCATTTTTGAAATTCAGCAAATTTGAATATGTAATTTCCAGAATGGATGAGAAAATGTGGATGCGCAACTAATTTCTAGCTTTGAATCTCAATTAAGTGTATTTGAGACAAGAACCCAATGTAATTATCATCAACACATACAACTTACAGCTTAGACCTCCAGTAATGCCAACTCAGAAGCAGATTTTACATCACATCAGAGCCAAAGATTGATAACAAGCTCATGATGTTTAGGCAACACGTACAACTAAGTGCTAAGTTAATATCTTGTAGAAAGACCTACATATCTAATGTCAAAAAAAATCGGCATAACGTCACTTTTCAAGATACGTGATACCCGTGCCGGTCTTCCCCTAGATTCGTTGCCATTTCGAACAGCAAAATAATATGAATATCTACGGCAGACTAGATCCCATCTTTATTCTTACACTAGTCAGATGCTAAGATATTCTGGTCAGATTTATGAACAAGAAATCACACTAATGAGAATTAAAAATATCAACATGTACGGCATATTCGCAGTTTAAATCGGATTTCTAGTTGCGTACTAGTCGTACTACCAATCTACTTCGAAGTATATCAATATGATTCCAAAATATTCGCTGCGGAGAAAGTCATTCCGTCAATCGCACTTGAAATATGTCCAGGTATATTATAACACGATGACATCACTGGACGAAATTTCACCTAGGTTATTGCGTTCAGGACATGTAGCAATCGATTATATCGGCATAGCCATCTTAGACATGTTTGTGTCATTTATAATTGGTTCTTAGAAGTGTCTAGTTGTCGGGATTCATTTGAATTCTGAGAAGTTGGTTGTTGTTTCTTTGTAATGTTCGCCTTATAAGTTGGTACCAGGTACATTGTCACATCTAATGATTTTCAGTATCAGCATAAATCTATAGAGCTTGAATAGTAATTATAGTACTCTGCCAATGTTTAGTACAGTTCATAGGTGGCCTATCCGATTAATCGGTGACACTTACTTAGCAGTACAGTCACAAGTGTATGTTCTACTAGCACAGACGTACAATTAAAATATTTACTGGTATTTCGGCCAGCTTGTTGACAATATAAAAAATAACATACCTACAGGGTGGCGCATCGAAGACGAAACATACGCATTTACTGGCAGCTCAGTTTTTTTTGTGAAAAACGCTCAGATCCGTCGGTTTTCTTTTCGAGGGGGACACAAGTTTGGCAAAAAAATCATGTTAGCAGGTGCAGCCCCCTAAGCGGGGGTGACACCACCCCCAAAATCTTAAATGGAAAGGGGGGTCGAGTGATACCTTATTTTAAAGGTCTTTCAATTCCTTTTATAATGATATAAAATTAATGTACTTCAGTGCAGTAGTTTTGAAGATTTATTAATTTAAATCTTAAATAAAACTAATACATCATCATTAGTGGAGATCAATACATTTGGCAGCAAAGTAATTTAAAAATGAAGAATGAACTGACCCGTTAGGCAAGTAAATGTTGAAAATGGCAGCATGACTCTCCATGTAATAATAAAGATTTTGGTCAAAACGTTGCCGCACATTTTGCAATATTTGAGGAGTAATTTGAAGGCACTCATTCACACTTCTTTGTCGCAGGTCTTCTAATGATGTTGGCTGAGTAGCATAGATTTTGCTTTTTAAATGAACCCACATAAAGAAATCCAAAGGTGATAAATCTGGCGATATTGGGGGCCATTCTATGGCACCTCTTCTACCAATCCATCGATCTGGAAACGTTGATCTAAATATTGTCGAACACGTAATGCGTAATCCTGTTGAAACATCAACCTATTCGCAATGTACCGCCGATCATTCTGATTTTCAATTATGGCTGTTAATGCAGGATCTATCTCGTCTTCCAGTAATTCCAAATACATTTCACCGGTCAAATTTCCAGGTAGGAAAAAAGGACCAACTAAATGATCGCCAAAAATACCAGCCCAAACATTTAATTTTTGTGGCTGCTCTGTATGAACCTCATGATAAATTCTGGGATTAGAATCGGACCAATATCGGAAGTTATGACGATTTACTACGCCATTTAAGAAAAAGGAACATTCGTCGGAAAAGCAAGTGTTGAATAGAAAATGTTCATCGTTTATAACTCATATCTTCACAAAATTGTAATCGCCGACCGAAATCGTCTTCATTAAGTTCTTGTACCAGGTGAATTTTATACGGATGAAAACTGTGGGCCTTTAGAATCCGTTGGACAGTACATCACATACAGTCTCCAATTTGCGGGTACTTAACGTAGGATCTACATAAACTTGCTCTAAAACCCCCACTTCTATTGCTTCGTTCCTTATGCGATTTTCAATGTTGCGTCTTGATTGGCGACGGACCCAGTTTCCCGAAATTTAGCTACAAGTTCTAGAACATATTTTCGATGCACATTACTGTTCTCATGTCGCTCATTAAGCATGCCATTATCAGGTCGTCGCTTCTAGGCATGCCAGGTGGACCGGCCAGGCTTTGCTTCTCATTCCAAACGCAAGAAACGTAAACTAGGAAGTGATAAACCCCTAAAAGTACTGGCTGAAACGGTTGTTTTACATTTTTTAATAATTGTTGATATCA